GCAGATAGCCCTCGTGTAGCTTTGCGCGAAATTAAAAAAACAACGAAACAAACAAACCATGGGTTCTATATTTATGTAACAACTCACGTGATCTTAAAAATGTTTCGGTTTACACGTAACAATTTACGTGGTCATAAAAAATGAACCGTTTTTCACGTCACAATTCACGTGGTCGTAAACGTGATACGATTAACACGTAACAATTTAAGTGGTCGTAGAAATGGTTCAGTTTATGAGTTACAACTTACGATGCTGTAACAATTATTCGTTTTAAACGTAACAACTCACGTGGTAGTAAAAAAAAAATTCAGTTACCACGTAACAGTGGCCATTATCATTCATAGCCTGAAGTTATAATAATTGCATGCTTAATACCCCAGTTAGGACTAGTTAGGTAGATAGGCTGGTTTATATATTTATTAAGATAATTAGATGTTTTGTTTGTTTTTTAATTTCGCGCAAACCTACACGAGGGCTATCTGCGCTAGTCGTCCCTAATTTAGCAGTGTAAGACTAGAGGGAAGGCAGCTAGTCATCACCACCCACCGCCAACTCTTGGGCTACTCTTTTACCAACGAATAGTGGGATTGACCGTCACATTATAACGCCCCCACGGCTGAAAGGGCGAGCATGTTTGGTGTGACAGGGATTCGAACCCGCTACCCTCAGATTGCGAGTCGAGTGCCTTAACCACCTGGCCATGCCGGGCCAGATAATTAGAACCATAATTAATAGAAACGTCATTTTTTAAAGCATAGAATTCACTGGTAACAGTTTAGGCTTTGTGTTATCAGTTATTGTAGCAAGATTGTTATCGTTTCTGCTTACATGTCTACCAGTAATCGGGGCTGGTATGATATAAAGTCTATTAGTTGTTTAGGAAAATACCTTCTTATATCTTCGAAACGTCATTGCAATACTCGACGTTACCGCCATCTGCGAGAAAACATGTTTATTTATTTAAAATTTTTGTCTTTAATTTTGAACTGATGGACTAGAAGGAAGACAGAAACAGCACCAACCGCCAGGGGCTAATCCTGGCTGACCGAATAGTGGGACCGTCATCCTTATAATGCAACCAACCGCCAGGGGCTAATCCTGGCTGACCGAATAGTGGTACCGTCACCCTTATAATGCAACCAACCGCCAGGGGCTAATCCTGGCTGACCGAATAGTGGGACCGTCACCCTTATAATGCAACCAATCGCCAGGGGCTAATCCTGGCTGACCGAATAGTGGGACCGTTACCCTTATAATGCAACCAACCGCCAAGGGCTAATCCTGGCTGACCGAATAGTGGGACCGTCACCCTTATAATGCAACCAATCGCCAGGGGCTAATACTGGCTGACCGAATAGTGGGACCGTCCCCCCTTATAATGCTCCTACTGATCCAAAGTGCAGAGCGCTATTTTGCGGCAAAGGGACACGAACTAGAACCATCGAATTCACAGTCCGGGCACGATAATCATTAGACCACACCCAGCGTTCGAGAAAGAAAAATACAATATCATCTCTATAGTAACAAAGGTTATACTTTCTAAAAAAAAAAAATACTTCACCAGGCGATTGTTTTTTATTGTAGCTGCTATAAGTAATGATACAAAACATATCATCTAGTAATTATGACGGTGTCTTGTACATTGGTTAACGATATCTTTATATAAAAACTGTAAATTTCAAAACTTGCCACCAGGTGGCACTGTAAAGCATATAGCGTTGAATCAAAACGAATAAGTAAATAGTAGCTTGTATATTAAGAAAGTTATTGGTAACCCTTTAAGTAAACTGTAACAGTCCATGTAGTATTAATAATATTTCGTCACTTCCTGTTTGGTAGTCTTCAGTTTCTTAACGTCACTTCCTGATTGGTTTTTGTTTTGTTTTTTCAGTTTCTCAACGTGGCCAATGTATTCATGAAGATTTTCAACTTGATATGTATGATGCTGCTGATTGGTCACTGGAGCGGATGTCTCCAGTTTTTAGTCCCCATGCTCCAAGGATACCCTCCTAGTTCCTGGGTTGCCATTAATGAACTTCAGGTGAATTGAAACACTATATAGACCCTTGGTCACTTTTTGACGACCCCAAAAAACACTTGTGGTCATAATTGTAGTATAAGTTATTTAAATATTCAAATTTAGTTTTACATCTTTAGACCATTCTTTTAATTTTCGTTCACCAATCGTTTGTTTCTTTCGGCGATGTGTCCACTACGTGTATCGAACGCCAAACTTTAGCATTATAAACCCTCACACTTACCACTGAACCACAGGGGAGCTAATTAATTGGTTTCATTTTTTTTAAATTATATTAACAATCGACAGTGTTCAAGTTAACAGTTTTTATTTATGCACACCACTGTTCGTGGATTTAGAAAAATAATTTGGAAAATTTTAAAGAAATAGAAAATCAATATGCGTAGTAAAATGTGTGTTTCGTATTTTTTGCATGTCAAAAACGAAACTCATTCAGGCTTAGCAAACCGTTCTCAGTTAGTCAGCTTCATTAAATCAATGTTAAAAACGCACAGCTAAATCGTAGTGGAGCTAAAATGTAGGCAGTAATGAAAGCAAACTGACCTTTGATATTCTCTAGATAGATAGGCAGGGCAACATTTCGTTTCTCAGCAGTCTTAGGCAGGGCAACATTTTGTTTCTCAGCAGTCTTAGGCAGGGCAACATTTTGTTTCTCAGCAGTCTTAGGCAGGGCAACATTTTGTTTCTCAGCAGTCTAAAC